ATTGGTTATTTCATTGCACTAAAAACATATTTTTTGAAAACTATGAAAATAAACCATTCTGGAATAATTTGAACACCTTGTTTTCCTTTACATATAAATTTTGTAAATTATTAAGTTATTACATAATACTAATTAACAATCTTAATCACAAAAAAAAATAAAGAGTGATACTAAAAATAAATTTAGAAATATATATATTTATAATTGAAATAATTTGAAGAAATCCAATATTTATTTATTGTACAATTGAATTTCATTAAAAGTTTTATTAAATGTATTTAAGTATTGCAAATTAAATGTTTTACAAGTTAAAATTTCTCTACCTTAAGCATAATTTTATTAAAATATATATATGTATATTTCTTTTTCATAAAATACTAATTTTAAAAATTATAAAACCTTGTATAAAAATACAAAGGAAAGATTATTTCACATTAAATTGTTCTTAAGTTTTACATTTCCAAATTAAAGATAAATATTTTAATATCTGATACATTCTTATAGTAAATTTTCAATGTATTATTGAAGGAAAGTAATAAATAATTATTTAATGGATTTCAATAATTATATTCAAATTTAAACAGAAATATACTTTTTCCCTCCTCAGAAAACAAACTGTTCGGAATCAACGTAAGCAATATTATAGAGCAGAAATATATAAATATATATATTTTTTTTTGTGAAATGCCATTAAACACTTTTAACTTGATTTGAAATCCTTTCTTTATATTCGAGTTTGATTTATAATTTTATGTCATCAGTAATGATATATAGAATCCAAGTATAGAAATTTTATTTATATAATTTATAAATGTTGCAAATTTATTATATATATACATAGATATGTAAATTTAATTTAATATACATATACACTAAATATTTATTTATATTTAAGCTTTTGAATATAATAACTGTAAATAATCGTTTGACTAAATAAATTAAATATTTCAATTAGTTAATGTTGGATTTGTATTTTGATACTTTTAAATGACATTTTGAAAACTTATTGAAAATTAATACATATAATTAGTTTGATATATTATGATTAAATACCATTTGATGATTTTATTTCTTATTAGGAATATTCTTATTTGCTATCTGTCTATTACAGTATTATTACAGTACTTTTAATTTCTAATTTTTGATATACTGTATATAAAAATTTTTAATATCTTAATTATATAATTTTGACAAATTTAACTTTGAAACTGATTTTTAATACTATTGTTTTCATTATGCATATAATTTTCTAATAAATGATTACTTGAAAGATTAAATTCAGTTATTAGAACTGATTTCCATTATGAACATAATAATTTTATTATGAAATATATTGTAATGATAATTATCAAAGACAAAATTAATGCATAACATTTTGTATAATTAGATATAGAATAATTTGAATATAAAATAGATTAATTTGAATGAAATATTACATGATAAGAATAAGTTGTTGTTATAGTTCAGTAGTCAGCTATTATTGAAATGTACATAGAAAATTATACTTAAACTATTATATTATACAATATCAGGTAAACTTTGCATTTTCATTAATTTCAATTGATTATTAAAATAATATTTATAATATATTAATTATTATTTATATCAATAAACTTTGCATTTACTTCAATATTTTCTTTTTTCACTCATAATTGGAATTAAAAATCAATTAATTGAAATTTGATATATTTAAAAATATGTATTGAATAAATTTAAATTGTCTTCCTTAAATCCATCACTTACATTCACCAGCAACAAAAAAGTTTTTAAGTGCATAAATGACCTTTAATTTGAGGTTACACCTCAATGAATTTAAATTTACCATAGTACATAGATTCTAAGGCTATAAATTTTTGAAATAAAAAAATTATATAAACTTTAAAGCTTTACATCTTAAAAATATTGCATAATATAATATTTTTTGGGAAATGAAATAATAGGCTAATAAAAGATAGAAATGTCTACTATAAATTTTAATTTTTAATATTTCTGTAAATAAATCTTTAAATAAATATTTTGAATTTTTATAACTCATTATATTAAATATGATAAGTACAATAACTAAGTAGTAGTTTTTGTGGTTTCAGAATTTTATTTTTTTGTAATGGAAATTTTAAATATTAAAACTATATAAAATATATAATTAATATTATTTA